ACGTGCTCTTGATATTAAACAACGTTCACTGCCTCCTACGCATTCTAGTCTTCAAGATGTAAGGAAGAATATTGAAATCCTAAGAAAGAAATTGTAAATTTTTTTTAATATTATTCGAAGAAATTAATATAATGAAGAACAAAGAGTATTTTTCGTTTGTTTTTACTTGATGATGTGCGCGTGTACGGAGAAAATCTGTCCGGTTGAGAACACAGAAGGACCATACCCATCGGTGAGGTAACCAACATATGCCGAAATCATGGAAATTCATTGTGAAAAAAGACCTTCACAATATAGTTCGTGCTGCAATAGAAAAGTTTGTCGGTGGCTGAGATAGAGCCATCCGACAGACTGCTAGAAAAGAGAAAGAATAATGGAGAATTCTCTGATTCATGAAATAAATTATTCTTACTGTTCCAGTGTAACAATAATTCATTGCATGAAGTAAAGAATACTCATCGATTGAATAATTTATTTCTATCTTGAGTTGAATTACTGTTACATTGAAAACAATGACTTTATATGCGATTGGAAAAGACTATTTTGTTTTTGAAGAGAAGTTCACAACTAATTGGTTTTGTTGATTCATATGTAGACGAACATGTCTATCAATTAAGTATTTTATGCGAGAGAACAAAAAAAAAAGGTGAGGAATAAGAAAAAGAAGACCTTTCTGCAGTAGTACTGTGACATGAAATGATTAATGAATTATTGTCTTTTGTCTATGATTAAAAACTTAGAACTTCAAAATTGTATTTGAATTCATTCTTTTGTTTTCAAAATTTCTTTTCGCATGGAAATGAAATCATGCTTTTTTGCTTATCTTTGCACTACCTTCAAAGCAGTTCAAAAATCAAACTTATGGCAATCCATACGATTAGACTATTTGTCTTTTCAACGTACATCACATTTATTCAATGATAATCTAGACGAACGAAGTACGGCAATTTCCAGTCGAAAGACTCAAAAAAAATGGTAGGAATTTGAAATCAAGAATCTGCTGATCTAATCCGACTTGAGCCGACCGTAATCTGGCAGAGTCGGTCACAGAATTCTTGCTTTCAGGCTTCTAACATATTCTGGATGGCGAAATAATTGATATCGGAATGCAGATAATTACAAGCCGTAGAATAACCATTTGAAACTATCATCATCGGATTTCCAAATGGAAGAGGTCGTGAATATTGAATATTAGGGTTTGAAATTTTTATTTATTGATAATACCCAACCATATTAAATGGTTCATTGATTTTTTTAACTCAATCAAAGTGCATTTCATTAATATATATTATGAAAAAAGAACAAGATTCATTCATTGTAGCGTGATGATATAGATATTTCTTGATTGTTATTCATTTCTGTATGTTTGAAAATATTTCAATATGTAAAAATTCGTATAATTCTTTTATATAAATTATTTAGATGCAACTTAATTATTCGGAAGATAAAGCACGAGCCACAACGAAACATAATCAATTACTAAATAGTTATAGACATATGGATATTGTCATTGCCGAAGCCATGAAGATGATAGTGAAATGTGTATTTGATGATGTATTTTCGCTCTCTAGACATACGAATATTAATAAACGAGATAGAATAAATAAGTCTCTTTGTTCTAACCTGACGAATGCAATAAAAGAAATATGCCAAGATTAATTGCCGAATCTATCATCATCAATAGAAATATCTCAAAAAGACATTGGTCTCTATCTTACAGAAGTATCAGTCAAACGTGATACAAAACAATACATAGATATATAAACTGTTAATGAATCACGAAATTTAATAATCATGTCTTTTAGCTAATACCTAGGTAATAAATTTCAGATTATTATGAAAATATTGATACATTTTTCTAATGCACATAGGAAATCTTATTTAATTAGATACGATTACATAGAGATTAATTTAAATCATGAAGTCTTACATATTCTATCGTTAAAGATTTAACACAGGAAAAATAAAGGAATGTGAGACATGAAGTAATTTCTAAAAAATCAACGATGAATTATCAAAAGAAATAACACGACACAAAACATATTAATGTTAACTTAATAAATTAAACTAAAACGATATATACTAATTGCTCATAGAAAGTAGAATTTCGAAATTATTCTTTCTTTTCAAGAAGATTTATTATCATATTTTATTGATCTTGATCAAATTTGAACATCGACAAATTCATCACGCTTATTTTTTCATACATATTAACTGTCTTACATTGTTTGAAACAATCTTTAATAATTAAAAATCAAATATGATATTATAACTTCAAGCGTTCATTGTTATTAATAGTTGACAGAAGAAACTCGAATCGAAAGAAAAATTCAGCTCAGAATAATTAATTTGCTTTTTTAACTGAGCTTTCGAGAATGAAAGCATGAGCGACGCAAGGTCAACTTTTTAGAGAATGCAATAAAGTTTTGAATATATCTGTTTTATCTCCCTCTTATGGACATTCTAGCAGCAAAACCTTTGTTACTGGAATTTAATTTTTTCAAAGACATAATTCGTCGAAACTATAGTAAAATAATTTATTCCAACCAATTTAGGAGAAATGCAAATTTTTCTTTGTCATTATCTTCCGTTTACTGACTATTATGATCTCACCTTTACATTCATATACAAGGTTGTCTGAAATTAGAACAACTCTTCTTTTCTTCAAAAAAAAAAATTACAAGCCTAACAACAATCAGCTCGGACGATAGAGGTCGTGTCCTTCAAATTGCTTAACTATTTAATTGTTATCAACTAGCTGTTCTCCCTCTCTGATTTCGACGTAACAGATAAATTTAATGTTAGCTAATTAGAGTTCAATTCTTCAAATTGAACTTGAGTTGAGTATGTATATACATATATATTGAATTAGGTAATTTTACTATAGTATAAAGAGGAACCACGGAAACACTAAGTTCTCATTGCTTCCCCAAATTTTTCTTACAGAAGAAATTGCTACTCCTTGTAGTGCTGCTGCATCGTTCATATTTGAAAGACGGTGAAATTTGAATCGAAATTCTTTTTATTAATTAATTTTTTTTGTCACATTAGAATTTTTAATAAATTAATATTCTGATCACAAATTGATTCTAAAGAATTCATAGTACTGAAATTTAACTTCAGAAAAAAAACTGAATTCTATGTTAAATTATTGTACTCACATAACCGTGCTCTTTCAAGCAAAAAAACATGTTTCAACAAGTTCTAAGTGTTTTGTTATTCAAAAACAAAGATTTAATAGTGCTTTGATGATATAATATTTGAATGTCAAAAATATTATGATATTAACTTCGACGGAATTAAAGTATATCTCTATGTTAATCTCAATTATATGACAATTATTTTACTAGCTCGATTTTATTATTCATTAATAAAGTCCATTAAGTTCAAAATTTTTGAATCCACACTTGAACCGTACTCCTAATTTCAGAGAAATTTTTTTTAGCTTGAATCTTGAAATTGTTCTGAAGATACGAAATACGTTGTATCGATTATTTGTATTCCGCTACGAATACATGTCTCAAACAATCTTGACAATGATCTTATAATAATCAAAACATTATTGGTTGTTAATTTTAAAGTATGAATCATTGGATTGATCTTGAAACCTATCAATAGAAAATATTCAGACCCGAGACCAACCTGGCATGTTCTCATCATCAACAAAAAGAATAACTTTATTCTTGTCGAAGTAAACTATGTTCATCTCTAACTTTTCATCTTATCAAATATTCTCTTGCTCAATGATTTACAACAAAGAAAAAAAAAATTCATTCATCTTGTCTCTTTATTTTATCGAACAAGAAAAGTATAGAAACAGATCAATAGTGAAAGTTTTATTTTATCTTAATTATTATTGACAAGATTCATGGAGTTAGTCGTACGTAAATCTAAGATTCAGTTCGTTTTTTCCTAGTAGAAAAACAATACACAAAATAATTATTAGTAGACGAATGACTTTGTTAAATTCACTAAAGCAATGAATAATTCGTTAATTTAATCTTCTTTTGATTAATTCAAATGTTTAAAACAGAAAAGAAATAATCCATGGTGAACATGATGGTTTATATTGTACAGATCGTGTTCATCTGTGTGAGACATACAGTTAATTAGATATTGATCAATACATGACAAGCAGATAAGTTTAGTGTTTATTAAAGAGTGACATGTGCATGTATATAAATATTCACAGCACACATTTTTCGATCAAATCAAGGTTTAGAGAGTTGAACAGAAAGAACGATATAACAAAAAGATGAGAAAATATTGTGTATCGTATCATTATGAATACAGATTTTCTTTTTAATATGTAAATTTGTATTTTTTATAGAAATCAAGTAACAAATAGATATGTTTATTCGACGTTTGAAAATTCGTGAGTGATCTTTCTTTTTTTGTTTTATTGCTTACTAACTATTACGTTTAGTAATTTTTTCTTTTATATCGATCGAGAATTAAAAGGTTAACCAGATGTGAAGAATATCAGTAGTCTTCTTTTTTCATATAATCTTCAAATAAATATCAATGTAGAAAGTTTTTTTTTTTCTTCTTTTTCTTCTTTCTCGATTCTTCCTTCTTTTTCAATAAAATTGAAGGTGTAAATCCTCTTAGTTATATATAGAAGCTTTTATGCATATATATAAATAGCCACTATATTCTTCCGTGTTTTATAAGTTCGTCAAATATATAAACTAATTGATTTGATCAATATAAGATTAAAAAAAAAGAGAAAAGAAGAGACTATGTCTTATTCTTTTTGATTACCGATGAAATTATCTAACTCATGAGTATCTACAGCGCCAATACGATCGATAGAGTTTTTGTTTACAAAAGAGAGAACATAATGACGGTGTCTCACGCACACAAAAAAGAAGACGAAGATTATCATGTGAACGAATAAAATGTTTTCTTCTCTTTCTTTATTCAACATAATTATCATCATTTTTTACTGATTTATATACGTAGAAGAAAAACACAGGACCTTTTTTTTTAACGTCACGATGTATATGTACAGATATGAAAAACGTGTTAAATATTATGGACATATTGAAAATAATGATGAAATAAGTGAGTCTTTTTCTTTCTTTTTTGTAAATAAGTTAATTAGATGCGTTGGTTAAAATATTGTATATTGAAACAAATTGTTTTATTTGTATATTTTAAAATGTAGAAAATGAAAGTGTAGTCGACGATCAAAATCACAAAAGTTTAGTTCATGCATTCGGTGATGGTCTTCGACAAGCTCAATTAGGTATTCAAACTTCATTTACTGTTGATGCCCAAGCTGCGCTCAATCCAGATGATGATGTCAAAGTTGTCGTCACAAGTAAGATTTTAAAAACTAACTTATTCGAGATTTTCTATTCCATTGATTAGCTCCATCAAAACAAACATGTTCTATGCAAGTCATTAATAATCGTAATGGAACATGGACTGTAAATTATATTCCAAATGAAGTTGGTGAAACCTATATTGATGTATTTCTTGGTAATGAACTTGTTAATGGTAGTCCATTTAAAGTAAATATATTTGATATTAATCAAATACATGTTTCAAATATTGATGCTGGAACGGTTGGTCATTTGGTTAAATTTCATATTGATGCTAGTGAAGCTGGTGTTGGTCAATTAGAAATAGTTATACAGGATGGTCGTATACCATGTGATGCAACATCATGTGGTACATTTCAATTTGATGCGACATTTTTACCCAAAGAACCTGGACGATATACTGTTGATATTAAATTTAACGGATTACCTGTACCTGGTAAAGATACTAAATGACAAAAAAAAAAAGAAGAAAAAAAATACAAAATCAAAGATTTTTTTTTATTTGTTTAGGCAGTCCATTTTCATGTTATGCTAATGATTTATCTCGTGTTACTGTATCCGATAGTTTAACAAGTGGTCATATTGGACTTCCGTTGTCATTTGACATTCATCATTGGGATTCTCTCAATTATCATAATCAAACTGTCCCACTTGATGTCGTAATTACAGGTAGAATTTCTATTTTTTAATTAGATTTTTATTTTTAATTTTTTATTCTAAGCTCCATCGGGTCGTTTTGTTCCTATTAAACGATCACAATTGAACGAAAGTATTACACGTATAGATTATGTTCTAAATGAGATCGGTAAGTAAGTAAATAACAAATGAGGAAATACAAAAAAAAACCGAAGGAAAAGATAATAATGATCATGTCATCGGATACGAAAACAATTTACTAATGTTCATTGAAATTAATAAACCAAATGAACAATATTTAACTCGACGTATTAGTTTTACAGAAAAATCTAAACAACATTTAGAATTATTTCGACGAAATTTATTACAATATTCTAATGATAACAGTAGGTCCTTCATTTAAAACATCATTTTACATAATGATCAACGTTTTGAAGCTTAACAAATTCAATGATAGATAATGATTTATTGAAATGCAAATCAGATACAGTATATTATCATTTTCAAATTAAAATCATTTTTTTATCTTACTAACTAATATAATACTTGTATACAAAATCAAGGACATATGCACGTCGCTATATGTACACTCATCTTTCATATGTATATAGGATGGCATATCACCGCCTCTTTCTCTCTCTCTCTCTCTTTTGGTCTATTTTTTTTTGCCGTCATTTTATTATGCATATAGACATACCTTCAAGTACGGCATATAGATCGAATAGGAAAGAACGACGAAAAGAAAACACCATTCTGGCTTCCACCTTGCTCTCTTCTTTTTCTTTCCCTGTCTATACCGTTTAATTGTAAACATGATTTATTTTGAAGGGAAAGAAAAGTATAATTGTTTTTTTGTTATAACGAAAGGCTTATATAATAGTTTTTTATTGAAACGATAATAATACTCTATTATATTAATTTATGAATAATGATAACATTTATTTATTAATGTTCTTTTATTCCTAGGCACACATCGTGTCGATATTCGTTCGAATATTAATAGTGGTGAAAAAATGGATATTAATGGATCACCATTTGCACTTAAAGCATATGATACAAATCGTTTAATTGTGTCTGATATTCCACATCTTATTACATATAATCATCCAATTGAATTTACCGTTGATGCATCTAAAGCAGGTGAAGGTCAACTTGAAGTTGCTATTAATGATGGTTTAGTGCCAAATCAAGTAAAAGCATTAGGAAATTCAAAATTTCTTTTTACATTTATTCCGAAAACGAATGATCCACATATAATTTCAATTAAATTCAATGGACATCAATTACCTGGTAAATATATGTAGATTTCTTATCTGAATAAAAAAAAAAAAATAACATTCAATTAATTATCAATAAAGGTTTTCCAAAAGAATGTCAAATATTTTCAACAAATGACATAACAACACGTGGTCCTGGTCTTAGTCAAGCATTACTTGGCGCACAAACTTGGTTTACTATTGAAACACCACATGGTGGTTCAGATGATGTACAAGTTATTGTATTTACACCAATAAATGAAAAATTAAATCCATCAACACGTCTTACTTCAGATGGACTTCGAGTTGATTGGATACCAACAGAAGTAGGCACTTATAACGTTCATGTAACATTTGCTGGTAATCCAGTACCTGGAAGTCCATTTCGTGTTAAATGTTATGATCCAAAAAAAGTTATTATTACACCACCAACAAATGATAGTACTGTTCGTAAACCAGCAAGATTTCTCAGTGAGTTTAAGATTTTGTTTTTACGAGAGAAATTTATCAGATTTTTATAATGCTATCGTTTTTCTTTTATCTTAAAGCAAAAAAAAAATTATTTTTTTTTTCAATCTTTTATTGAAAATAGTTGATGCTTCTCGAGCAGGAGAAGGAAATCTTGAAATCAGTGTAAACTATTCTGGTCGTAATATTCCAAATCAAGTTAATCCCATTGGTAATAGTCGTTTCGAAGTACAATTCATTCCACAAGAAGCTACAATACATTATTGCAATATTTTATTCAATGGCGAGCTTGTACCAGGTAAATAACGACACATATAGATATATCTATCGCAATGAAAAAGAAAAAAAAAACAATAGGACGATTTTTTTTCCTATCGATTGATCAAAGAATGGTTGATTATCAAATAGACCTTACATTGACAAGGTTTTTTTCTTTTACTAACACTCTATTCGAACGTAACGAAACAGTAGGTTGACAATATTTTATATCTTCCACTAACTACTAATAAATCTATACAAGATATATATGTAAATTAATAAAAAAAGAATTTTTTTTTTTTTTTCGTCTTTTTTTTCTTCTCTTCGTAATACATTGATAGTTATCATCTTTGTTTTGTTGTTCGTACGAGAGTATATGAGTGCGCAAACAAAAACTGATGATGCATAGACATGCCATTATAAAGGCGGACGAGGAAAAAATGTGGGCGAAGCAAAACGAAAAAAAGCGATAGTGGACATGCATATATATATATACATATGTATACATATATGCAGGTCTCTCAAGCGCATCGACTTTTCTAAGCGAGAGAGTGAATGAGTGAGTGAGTGAGTGAACAATTCAATTTTCAATTCATTCGAAATACAAGATACGACGAAAGCATATACGTGTATGATGCTTAGTCTCGATCATCCAGTGGTTACTAATGATGGGACATCATCCTTGTTTAATTTATCTTCAGGTATTTGTTTTTTGTTGCATTCTCAAAAGATTTGTCACGTTCAAAGGCTTTTCAATCGAAGAGAAAAAAAAAAGCGAAAGAAATTGAATTAGATCGAAAGTTATGTACACATTTCATTATCATAAGAAAAAAAGAAAACGACGATGTGTTGTTGTATTTCGAGTGGTTGTCCATGTAGTTCATGGTTAGATAGAGAATTTTATATCTATGATGATGGTTTTATTCAATATAAACGTGATTTCAAAAGTATTTAGTTTGGTTTTTTTTTTAAATTATCTTTTTCAGGTAGTCCTTTCGGTGTTAACGTTATGGATACACAACGTATTGTAGCATTTGGTAAAGGTCTAGGATCAGTACCTGTTAATATTCCAACATCATTTACAATTTTAACACAAAATGCTGGTGTTGGAGATTTAAAATGTTCTATAAAAGGTGTAGTATAAATTTTGCTTTCTTGTTTTTTTTGTTGTTGTCGTTTATTTTGGTGATGGTCTCGAGCAGTATAAATATTAATAATGTTTTTTTTTTTGGTGTGCTGTTTTTTTTTAAATCTAATATAGCTTGACAGAAATATTCATACTAACTTAATGTAAGTGTAGATTAAATATAATATTTCAAATAAACAAGAATAATATATTTCTAGGTCCTGATGATCATTTAATACCTTGTATTATGACAAATATGGATTCAAGTCGATATGATGTATCTTATACACCGAATTGTGTTGGTTAGTTAAAATGATAAAATTATGAAATAGTTTTTATTTTTTATTTTTCTTAGGTGATTTTCAAATAGAAGTTTATCGTGATAGCAATCCTATAGATACTAATTCATATATAGCTCGAGCATATGATGTTAATAAAGTTGTGATATATGACTTTCCATCATCGGCTATGGTTGATTCACCAACTTATTTTATTAGTAAATAAAATATTTTTATAGATATTTTTCTGTTTTTGTTTTTTGTTATGTTTAGTCGATGCAACAGATTCTGGTTCGGGTAACCTTGAAATAGCTATATCAATTAATGAAAAAAATATACCTAATTATGTACAAAATGAAGGTGGTGCTCGTTTTCGTGTCAAATTTATTCCTGACCAAATCGGAACATATTATGTTCATATTAAATTTAATGGCATTGATCTTTATGGTAAAAAAAAAAACAAATTAAAATTTTTTAAAAATATTTCTCGCAAAAAAAGATACTTCTATAGTAATTCGCGATCAACTTAATAGGTGCAAAATTAGGAGTACGGTTCGAAAATTTTTTTATCGAATTGGTGTGTCTTATTAGTTCTCTTTTTTTTGCTCTAAATATTTCATAGAGAATGTGTAATGAAATTCTATTAAAAGTTGAGTATATCAAATATCACTAATCATCAATCAAGTTTTGAAGTAGTTTAATGATCTGAAATTCTAATTATCGATTATTTTGAGTCTGACAATCTTAACAAATCAGTGACAAAATCAAACAGGAGTTTCACTAGTTCGATTCGATCTTTAATAAAAACAAATGAGTGTTGTTTGAATAATATTGAAAATATTTTCTTTTAAATAGGAACACCATTTAAATGTGATGTATTTTCAAGTGATTTTACAATTGAAAATTATGAATATGCACCAATTAATAAACGAACATTATTTTTAATTAAATCAAAATTAAATTCAATGTTTAATTCAAATATACATATTAATATACTAACACCATCTGGCAATTGTATAGAAGGAAAAATTGAAGAAAAATCCTTAAATATATATGCAATTCGATTTATTCCAAATGAAATTGGTGATCATCAAATTATATTCTATAGTGATAAAGAAAAAAAACATATCATTACAAAATATACATGTCAAGTTTATGATGTAACAAAAATTCATATTAGTGATTTATTACCTGCTATTCCTCATCAACTCTATAAATTTACTAGTAAAATTTTTATCTTCTAAATAAAAAAAAAAAAACAACGGATTTTATTTTGCGTTCTAGTTAATACAATTGACGCTGGTAATGGTCATTTATCTGTAAAAATTAAACAAAATGCAAATCGAATAACATATGATCAAACTCGTATGGATACTCATAATTATGAAATAGCATTTATACCTGAAACATTCGATGAATGTATTGTAACAATATTATTTAATGGAGATAATAGTTGTAAGTCAATTGACATCGGTTTTTTGTTTTTTTTGCAAAAATTTTTTTTTTTCGTATATCATAAGGAAAAGATTTTCAATACAATTATATTTAGTAGCAGATGCTATTCTTAATGAATACTAAAGTTTATAGTTAGAATATTGTATCCGCCCTTCATTTTATAGAGCGTGACATGATGTATGATTGAAGGCGGATCAATAGATCGTTAAATACCGTGACAAACATCATTCTTTAAGCCTCGCCTATTCTTTACTTATGATCATAAACGATTTATAAGAGAACAATCGGATATATATATAGTGACAGTCAATATTAATCATATTCCTAACTGTTTGCTTTGATTTTCGAATATATTAAGATGATTTTAACATATCGAATTTTAGTTTACATTAAATGATAGCTCTATTTTCAAAGTTTATCAGCTCATTATGTACACGTGTAAACAAAAAATTTTCACTTTCGAAAATATATTTTTATATTTATGCATGCGGTAAAGATCTAGATAACGATTAAATTTAGAAATTTTTTTTTGTTAATTATTAAATGCGTTATTTATGTAGGATCTCATGATTATTCGAAATGAAAAATACATCATATAGAGTTAACAGGAGAAAATAAATCATGAAATTATACATAAGAAGACAGTTCTAATTACGAGAATAGTAACAAATAAAAAGGTGGGAATGGAAATGTAGATGCGAATCTTATCTTCAATTACATTCAAAATGTTTTCATTAAAGATATAAATGATTGAGTAAAGTGTATTCACCTGTGATGGAGAATAAGATATCATTAGACCAATTAGCTATACTAAATGAAAACCTGACGTTATAATGAAAATGTTTATCTTGGGTTTGTTGTGAATAAATATTTCAAAAAAAAAAACGATATACCGGAAAAATTTGGAAAATTCATCAATAATATAATCAACTTTATACTAATATTTCGATAAAATATACATCGTAACTAATTCAAATAAGTCATAGTTCTAATATTTCTATCTTTTTGAAATTAATGGGAATATTTTAATCAGTAGTAATCATTCATCGTTTGAGCTCTTATTAGACCCACATGTAGATCTCAGTGAGAATAAGAAAAGCCTAAAAAGATTCATTCTTGACAACTTTTTTTCACCAGCTTATGACTGGTTTACTGAATTTTTTATCCCTATTTAGGTATTCTCCGCAAGACTCAATAACAGAGTTTTAATCCAAAGTTCAATATTTTGATCAAGGAAAATTTTTTTCGGCTAAAACTTTTAGAATATTGTAAGAAGCATTAGACTTATCTATATGCAGAACTTTAGATCAAAATATCACTATTCGGTCTTTCGTAAAGTACTTAAAAAGACTTTAAAATCAAGTAAACCGGTCATAAGTCAACGACAAAGGTACATTGGGATGAACCCTTCTAGGTTTTTGCAAATCTCCTTAAGACTTGCCTGTGTGTCCAATATGAAATTAAACAGCGGGTGCCACTTGGGGATAGTTCTCTCATAAGCATTGAAATCGTACTTTAACAACTACAGTTAACATATCTTAATAATTATCTTAATTTAAAAATTTTCTTAGACATATTCTCAAACAAAGTTCTTTATTACTTGTATTCACGATAGGGTAACAATCGCTAGACTGCTATGCTGTTATATTTGTCAGTGTTTCTTTAAATATCAAATCTTATCGTCATAATCATTATGTAAAATTGTATCATCAATGCTAAGCAATAATAATCATAGATCAATTTTTCGATATTCAACTTGAATTTTCGATTTACAAAAAAAAAAAAAAGATTTGTATAACTATTATTTATCCTTCAACTATCAAAAATAATCATACAGATCGAAACTAATAAATCAAAAAATGCAATTTTATCATCTGTCAATCATTAATAAGGATTCTTTTTATGTATGAATATTAATCGATTGTTACGGGTCATGTATTGAAATAAAGAAACATAAAATCTATATGCTATGTGATATTAATATTTTTTTTTTCTTATTTAAGTGGGTCCACTCACAATACCAATAAAAAGTGATTCGAAACAAATTCATGTTTCACCTATATCTCCTGGTATTGTCAATCAACCAATTGTTTTTACTGGTAAGATCATATACAGATTAAAAGAAAAACCTCTAATTAAATATTTTTCTTTAAAAAACAAAAACAATAGTCGATCTTGATGAAGCAAAATCATTTTCTGTGCTTATCACAGAATCTCATGGCGGTCGAATGGTTCCACATACAATGACAACATTATCAAGTGAAAGAAATCGTTATCAAATAAAATTTACACCAAATGTTGCTCGTCAACATACAATATTAATAAATTATGATGAACAACCAGCATTTACATATCATGTTGATGTATTTGATATAAATAAAATTCGTGTTAGTTCGATCGAAGATGGAACTGTTGGAGTTCCATTAGTTTTTACTGTTGATACACATGGTGCTGGTGAAGGTCATTTAGAAGTAACAATAAGTGATGGTCGACGAACATTACCAGCTGAACTTAAAAGTATTCAAGCAAGAAAATTTGATATTGGTTTTCTACCCGAAATACATGGAAAACATTCAATTACGATTGCATTTAATGGAATTCCAGTTGATGGTAGTCCATTTGAAATTTATATTCGTGATTCACCAACAAGTGATAAAGAAAGTATTCAAGAAGATGAAGATGAAGACGAAGAAGAGGAAGAAGATATTGGTGATCATGAATTTTTAATTGGTGGACAATTAGAAGGAACTAAAGTTGGTGAACTTGCTTGGTTAATTTGTGATTCGGCATTAAGTGATATTTATGAAGATTTTGATTTATTTGTCACTGGTATGTTGTTGTTTTTTTTCCTATTCAAGAGATTCGCCTCTCTATCAGAACATTTTTTTATAAGGTGTGTGTGTGTGTGTGAGTATTGAATCTTACTTTGTTTATAATTCTTCTCTTATTCACACTTTAAAAGATTTCACATTTATTTCGAATATATATCATTCGCATGTTTCAAAATTTGAGAATAAAAACTATTAAGTTTTATCTAGATTTTCAGAAAGATAAATTATTTTTGAGAAAAATAATATATTTGTTTAGATCCAGATCAAACTATAATCAAGCATACACGAATACAAGATTCTGGTGGTCGATGGCGTGTTGAATTTGAACCTATGAAATATGGTATACATCAGATTCAAACTAGTGATAATAGTACTGATGATTCACCAATTATTCTTGCTTCAATGGATATTTTACCAGCAAATTATAGAAGAATAATTGAAGGTGAAAGAATAATTCATCCTAATGTTCTTAATTTTATTACGGTTAATTCAAATAATGATAATTTAAAAATTCGTTTAAGACGTAAGATTAATTTTTTCTTTCTTATTTAATATACATGGGGCTGGTCAACCTGGCCGGAGGCCCCATTAATATTTCTTTGTATTGTAAGGATAAAGCATACTATTGTTCGGGTCATATAAGAGAGGATCCTAGATAACCTTGGATTAGCCCGAACGACGTCATGTTTTATCCGTACAATAGTAGAGAATAGTTACCAGCTTATTGTGTGAGCTGGTAACTTTTCTCTACTATTGTACGGATAAAACATGATGTTGTTCGGGCCAATCCAAGGTTATCTAGGATCCTCTCTTATATGACCCGAACAATAGTATGCTTTATCCTTACAATACAAAGAAATATTAATGGGGC